CCCCCCACAGCTGCCAACTGCCCGCCTGCCCAACACCCCCCACGGCTGCCAGGCTCCTGTGCCCTGAACGCCTCCCTTCCCTAAACAAACATCGAAAGACGAAGAGGTTGCCCCGACGCCTGCCCCCAGCCTGGCCTGCCCCTGATACAACGCACGCCCTTCGTGGTCGCCCAGCTTGCAGTCTTTCACTTCCATTTGACCTCTCAGGTGGCCCTCAGAACCACCCTGTGGGTGGACAGGGAGAGGGTTAATGACCCCATTTTACAGATGTGGAAACTGAGGCCCAGAGGACCCAGAAGTGAACTGTCCAAGGTCTCACGATGAGGTGTGTACTCGGCTGGGATGTGAACTCCAGGTCCCAGAGGTCTGTCCCCAGGCCAGTGTCCATCCCCAGGCTGGTCAAGGTGATATTCTCTACCAATACCTCCACAGGCCCACCATCTGACTCTTTTCCCCAGCAGGGTGCCGGCCCATGGGGAGCCCTGTTTGGTTTACAGCTGTGTTCCTAGTGCCCTGACAGGCCGGCACATAGTACTTGCTCAATTAATAACAAAGGAAGGAATGTGTCCTAAACAAGCAGTTGATGAACCCGAAAACAGCAAGACTCAGACACAAATGAAGCTCCAGACAAAGTGGCAGCCGCTCTGTCTTGGTCCTGCCCGCCTCCCCATCTTGCACACTCACAGTGAGTCTCCAGGTTTCACTTGAGATCTGGAAACTTTTTTCATTCCTCTACGTGACTGATGGTGCCCTTGGTGAGAACCTAGCTGGCACGGGCTCTAGTTCAACATGAACCCTCAGAGACTGACCCGCTGCAAGGGCTGCTCACAGGGGGGACCACGCTGCCTGGATACACAGTGGATTAAGGGGGACCCAGGGCTGGCAGGAGTAATACAGGAAAATGGGGCTCTGATGATTGGGGGCCACGTAGGGACAGAAGAGGAGGAGACAGATGCCCACCTCTTCAGCTCTGGCTTCCAATCTGCTGGGCAAATAACCCCTCTGTGCCTCAGTTTCCACATGTGCCATCCTGCCTACCGCACAGGGTTATGAGGTATGGGTGAGAGGAGGTCTCCCACTTTCTTTCTAATGTGCTGCCTAACTCATTGCCTCTTCTTTTGGATGAGTGAGGAGGGGACCCAGTATGAAGCTCACCTTCCTTCACAGTTCTCAATGTTCAGTTGGGACAAACACTACTTGGGGACTAAGGGCACATGCTGGCCATGCAGCCTCGGGCCTCTCAAATGACCACTGTGCCGAGCAGCTCAGCCAGAGGGACAAACAAATAGAGGAACCTGTGGATGCCTACCACCTGCCACACACTACCTCCCTTCCAAGGAGCTGCCACTGGCCACCTCCTGATCCCATTGTGGGTGCCAGACTCCAGGCCGGCCTCTGAGCTCTGGCCAATGGGTAGGGTGATCACCCAGGCAAATCCTCTAGCTTGGCTCTGGAGGGGCAGGGCAATGGGGATGGTCAGAGAGATGCAACAGGTGGAGGTTGGAGGGCAGGACTGAGCAGGAGGTGGGGAGCAGATGCGAGGGGAGGGAGAGGAGACGCAGGGATGCTGCCTCTGAGAGGGGCCCAGTGCTCTGCCAGGGCTGCCTGAGGCTGGGGATGGCTTTGTGTCGAGTCCCTCCAGCCCTGAACACGCGATTATCTGGCTTGTCTGTTTTCAGTCTGGATAAGCCTCACTAAAGTCATTGACACCAACAGAAACACAGCTCTAAAAGCCCAAGGTCAGGAGGAGGTGACCGAAGGACCTTGCTTAGATGAACAACACTCACTGTGTTCCTCAATGGGGGTCCTTGGGAGGGGCCAAGCTTTCCCAGCTAGCATTGGCAATGAAGTACTGAGCAATGGAAGATTCTGTATCTCATGGACACTGATCTAAGTAAGTGACCACATCTCCCTTTTTACTTTGGCTACTGGGAAGCTCAGGATGATATGCACGGCCCATTTGTGGCAAGTGTGCATCCTAGTCCATGTTTTTGTATAAACTGCATTCCTGATTCCACTTTATGGCCCTGCCCTTGTTTTTCTCTCACTCCCACTTTCTATTTGCACCACTCTGACTCACCCTATGAGTCTTTATAAGCTGCCTAAAATCCCTTCTGAAATGAGGCAGGGCACAGACACATGTTTTTATAGCTGGGCAACAGATCTGAAAGGACTTTGCAAAAAATCACATGGAACAAAACTATTTGCGAACAGATGAAATGTGCGGGTATGTAAGACACATCTCAACTTTTAAAGAGAGTGTATTTTACTTTATATATGTACTAAAAGTGGCTCCATAGGGGAAGCACAAAGCTGCATTTGCCACGTGAGCTGGCCCCTCTCCTGTTCCTTTGCTTAGCTCCAGGATAGCTATGCTGGCCAGTTACCAGTTTCTTTCTCAACATCTAGAAGTTTAGTTTACACCTAATATTATAGCAGTACCTTTAATGTTCTTGAAATGTGGGTCAGGGTAACAGTAAACGTAAATATAAAATGAGAATGAGAGGAGAAAACCCACGGTACCTCCCTTAGCCTGTAACCAGTATGTTCAATCAGTCCCTAGGAGGCAGCACTTCGGTCGTGGTGCTGCCATATGCCACCAGGAGGGGTCAGTGTCGTCCCCTCCTCCTGTGGATGGGCCTTCCACTGGGGCTCACGAGCCTGCCTACCACACGATCAGAACCTGCAGCCAGAACAGAGCTAAACTGTCCCCCATTCTCTCCCTTTTGACTGAGACCTGGGTATAAGATGCAGGTTCCTTTCTTTACGAGAAGAGCAGTTCCGACTCCCAGAACCAGTGGCCCCCGCCCCACCTCCACTCACAACCCCTTGCCTGACTCTACTGTGTCTTCCCGGGGTCTCACTGACCACCTGCTACCATGCTCTATAATTTACTAATAAGCCTGTTTCCCTCCATCCCAGCAGAACATCAGCCCATGGGGCCAGGCTGGTCTCATGAACACACAGCAGAGGGCCTCCGGGGAGGGAACCTGTAGCTCAGACGGGCTAGCCCAGGACGGCTGGTCCGGCCAGAGGCCTCGGGCCACAGCTGTCAGGCCCACCAATGCATCCAGGCCCAGGTGTGGCTCTCAGCCAGGAGGCCCAGGACCTGATCTGGTCACCCAGGAGGAGGGCTCCTCTTCCAGGGATGGGCCCAGATGACCAGCTCATTAGATGGGCACCAGCCCCCAGAGCCCATTAGCTCATTTCTGGGAGAAACAGAGGGCAGTGTATTCCCTGCACCGGGGTGGAGTCCCAGGGAACTGTGGGGCTGTGTGAGAAGCCAGAGGCCAAGCAAGAGCAGGGTGGCAGAATGTGAATGATTACAAGCTGGTGCCTACATGGGTACTTAGAAAACGTTCCTAACATTTAGAAATTTCCCATGAAAATGCAGATCCAGCTTCCCTTAAAAAGTGGCAAGGCCTGGGCTACAGGGCTGAATTCCTGCATAGCCAACTGACTGCAGCTGAGAGGGGGCTGCCCACTCTGGACAGGGCAGATGCTCTCCAATTTGCTGCACTCCCCACTACTCCCTATTGTCTCCCAACCCTGAAGCAAACATCACTGGTATTATCTGCCAACAAACCTGACCTACTGCTTTTCCCACAGCAAAGAAGATGATATTTTTTTCCATCCACATCTACCTAAGGCAGGAAAATGAAGTAATTTAGCTCCCAGAGGGCAACTTTGCTTCAAGTTTGGGGGCCAGCTCTCACTCACTGCTTCCTACATGGTTTTGGTTCTTCCACAATCAACTGTGTGACCTCGGCAAACAGCTTAAACACCTGGACAGGCAGGGGATAGCTGTACGTCAGCCCAGCCCACCTCAAGGGCTGATGACTGGAGAGAAAATGGGCGGAAAGTGCCTGACAGGGTATCAACTGCACAGTGGGAACAGTCACCCCCCGCCCCAGCACTGGTCCTGGAGGCCCTCGCACAGTGAGCCCCAGCCCCAAGGGAGGAGGCCAGCTCCCTTTGTCCAGCAGGGGGCAGTGCAGCCAGGGGAAGCCTTGGGCTCTGGAGGAAGAGCACTGAGTTCAAGCCCTGTCTCTGGGGTTTTCCAGCTGTGTGACATGAGGCACTTACTTCCCATCTCTGATCCCTCCTTCCTCATCTGTGAGCCGGGGTCACAGCACCTCCCTCTCACAGGGCCACAGGGAGAGCATGCAGGTGAGAGCATGCACCAAAGGACACCAGTGCCCCCACCCCAGCCTGTCCTGCCCGGGGCTTCCATCACTCACCTTCAGGGGCCTTGTCCACCGTGAACCAGAGCTTGAAGCGTGCAGAATGCTCGTTCCTCAGCTCCTCCAGCTCGGGCCGCAGCAGGATGTCCTTCTCAGTCTGTGCGGGGGACAAGTCCGGCGGTCAGGAGGGACGGTGGCAGGGACCGCCCTTGCAGACGCTCGCAGCCCAGCGGCCCGTCATCCTGCCCAACCGTGGGCCGCACACTTGGCAGCGCTGGCAGGGGAACAGCCTGGCACAGCTCGCCAGACTCCTAAAAACACTACCCCTTTCTCACTCCCCTCAGGAGCGGACCAAGCTGCTGACGAAGGTGTTCACAACAAATGCCGTTGGCAAAGTTTTTAACGCTGTGGTAAATGTGAACGGCATGGGGAGGGGAGAAAGTGGGAAACAAAACTAAAGATGGGAGCACTCAACTACAGAAGAGAGAGACGGGAAGAACATGTGCCAAAGCCCTCACTGCGATGATCCCTGGGGGCGGTTATGATACCCGATGACAGTGGTTCAGTTAAAAAATACAGGCTTGCCACCCACATCCCCGGGACAAGCCTTTACATTCCAGCATCTCAGGCTGTACATCCTTAAATTAGGAAATAGACAGCTGGCAGCCCACATAGCCCTACGGGCTCGGCCCACTGACCTTTCCTCCAGGAAGACTTCCTGGGCCCCCAGGGGCGTGACTGAGAGTGTCCATCCTCCTACACCTTCGCCTACACTGGGTGACAATTGTTTAATCTTTGCCAATCAGACTGATGCAAAGTAAATCTCGTGTTTTATTTTTTATTATTAATAAATAAGTCTGTCACTAGTTTAGTCATATTTTTTTATTAGTTCAGAAAACTCTCTTAATATTAAGGATATTAATTGTTACTGGTGATGCATTGTTTTTTCTAGTTACTTATCTTTATACCTTCTTTATATGCCCCCCCATATAAAAACCTTTATATGTTTTTATTTATTATTATTTTTTAAAAATATATCTTTATTGATTTCAGAGAGAGGAAAGGGGAGGGAGAGAGAGAGATAGAAACATCAACGACAAGAGAGTCATTGATCGAGCCCGCAACCCGGGCATGTGCCCTGACCGGGAATCGAACCCCGATCGCGTGGATCCCAGGTCGATGCTCAACCGCTGAGCCATGCCCGGCCGGGCTTTATATGTTTTTAATTTTTTAGCAGAGGACTCACTCCATCAGTCGTTTCCTCTCTGTCTGGCTTAGACTGACCATCCGCAGTCATTCATTTATTCAACAATACTTCTTGTAAAAATGCTCAACCACTACTTTTAAAGCTTCAGGGGTTTTTTTGTTTTTGTTTTTTCACAGACATCTTTAACCTAAACTTCATTTTACTATAAGATAGAGTGGGGATCCACTTAGTTTTTTCCAAATGAAGAGCAACTAACCCAACATCCATTTTCTTTTGTATTTCTTAATTGTTTCTTTGTCAAGAGAAACTATTCCTAAGCTCAGATATTCAAGTTTCATAGTTCAAGAACACAGGTCAGTGACAAACTTCTATGGAATTCAACCCGAAGAAATTCTTGACATTCCAAGATCACTCTGACCTCTGAAAGATACCAGCCTTCCTCCTCTCCTCAAAACCTTCCATGGAACCATAATTTCTGTACAGAAATACGGAACGTCCCTTGGCCCCTGCGCAAGGATGACACGCAGATTTACAGGGGCCATGCTAATCTCTGTATTGGTCCAATTTCAGTAGATGTGCTGCCGAAGCGAGCACCCAACACACATTAAAAAAAAAAAGTTTTTACTGATTTTAGAGAGAGAGGAAGGGAGAAGGGAGAGAGAAACATGGATCGGCTGCCTCCTGCGGGATTGAGCCTGCATCCTAGGTACGTGTCCTGACTGGGAATAGAACCAGCGAACCTTTTTGGCGCACAGGACGGCGCTCAACCAACTGAGCCACACCAGCCAGGGCCCAACACCTCTCCCCTCAGCTTTGTGATGTCCCCTGCATCATATACAAAGTCTCATATAGACTTAGGCCTGTTTCTAGGTCAGTCTTGTTCAACAGAACTTTCAGCAGTGATGGGAATGTTCTAGATCTGTGTCATCCCATGTGGTAACCATTGGCCACATGTGGCTACAGAACCCATGCAAAGTGGCTAGTGAGACTGGAAAAGTGAGTTTTTAATTTTAATCTTGACTCACTTAAATGTAAATAGCCACATGTTCTAGCATATTCCAGCACAATCTAGACTTTCATTGACACCCAGAAACGCAGCAGGCCCAGTAAGCCCAGGTCTCATGTGTGGTGCAGCCACATTTCCATCACTGGTGGTCTTCAGGGCATTTGAACATCAAGTGTGCTACGTGTTTCCCTGTCTTCTTTTCCAGACCTTTCTTGGCTGCACATGTATTCTCTGCCTTCCAGACCATTCCCCCATACGAAAGGGGGAAAATATCCCACCGGGAAGTTGCGTCTTGCCTTATAAGGAACCGACACCTTTAGACCATCAGCCTCACTGCTCTTAACTCTCCTTTAATGTCCTTCTGAAAAGTCCCTTCAGAGGGCCCATGAGGCCAAAGCGACTTTCATCTGGGGCTAGGACTTTCCTGGCGCTTTTCGCACCTGCTCTCTCAGGAAGGCCCAGGGGAACTTCCAGAAGCTCCGAGACCTGAGACACTGCACCGACTGAATGCAGAAGCAGAGGTGGAATCCAGCCACTTCCATTAAGCCAGACATTACAGAGGTTTCCCAAAATGTAAAACAAAACAATGCTCTGTAAAAGTTACTTTTCATAAAATACACTCTGGTTCGAGTGCTGGTTCCATCACTCCCTGTGACATGGGTAGGCCAAGCCCCTCTCTGGGCCTCCGGGTCCAGAGTTTACAGACGTGGGACAATTACACCGCCCAAGTAACGGGCGTGGAGGTGCCCCATATGGGTGACAGAGGGCTGACGGTCTCCACGGAGACTAACCCAGCACGGACAAGTCCAGCTGCCGCCTGCCCTCCTGCCCCACCAGCAGCTTGGAATTTCTGGCTCTTTCCACCCACCCCTGGACCTCGTGAAGGCCACCATGGTTGGCCACAGGGCAACTTTCTGCAGCTGTGCGGGAGTCCAAGGACCTCAGGCAAGTCCCTAGCCCTCTGGGCTGCATCCTCACAGATGGATGGTCAGAGCCTGGGGCAGATGAACAATTTGAGAGACACAGGGGGCTGGGCCAAGTGCCCACACTGTAGAGAAGGAATGTCTCATCTTGGCCTCCCCCTAGGGACGTCACTTTATAAAATCCACATAATCAGTCGTGAAACACTGAACCAGGAAAGACCTATGATGACCTTGCTCACTCCAGCTATGGGCTCAAAGCCCAGAGAGGGAAAGTAACTTGTCCAAGGCCACACAGCAGGCCAGGGCAGGCACGCAGCAGGTGTGGGGAGGAAGATATACACTCAGGAATGAGAGACCAGGTCCAAACCCTGTCCCAACACCCCCAGCTCAGGGACCTCATGCAGACGGGCTCTTGGCACCTTACCTGTGAAAACACGCTAGTATTTGCCCACTACACTGGTGGGTCCTGAGCTCTACTCATGGAAGGAGCTCTGAGGTTCAAAGGAAGCAGCCAGGGGAGCAAATCTCAGGTGGGGGGTGCTCCAGGTGCCTGACTCCTCTCAAGTACAAGTGTCAGGCCAGACACTGAGCTCTGGGCTGAAAAGCCCAGCTCCACCCGCCGCTGCAAAGGCTGCCAATGTGCATTATGCTCAGAGCACCCTCACGTCAGCTGTCCGGAGCATCTCCACAGAGCGCATCTCACCAGGCCCCGAGTACCCTCTCAGCAGGAGCTGGGTCTGCACATCTCGGGAACGCCCACTGACCTGGTTAGCAAAGAGCAGGTGGCACACGGTGTGGTCATCCGGGTCCTTCATGATAGCGCGAATCACCTGCAGCATTGGGGTGATGCCTGCAAAACAGCAGCCCCCACAGGCTGAGTGAGCCCCTGCTGCATATACACAGACCCTGTGCCAGGCAGGTGCCTAGGGGAAGGTGCCAGGACAACTGGGCCAGGGTCCTTGACTTTGGGCAGCTCACAACTGCTCATATCTGTGCCTCGTCCCATGCCCTGACCCCAACCCACAACATCCACCCACCGGGGACTCCAAGAGGGGCTCTGGATCCACACACCTGTTCCGCCTGCGATCATGCCCACAGACTTCACCGTCTTGATATTGGGGTTGGATTTCTTGTCTGGGCGGATGGCAAACCTCCCTGGGGAAAGGAGAAGGGGTAAGGCCCGGCTCTCACACATGCCTGTCTGGGGGTCAGATGGGCTGGAGAACCTGCCCCCACTTGAGGGAGAGCACAGTGGGATACCAGGACCAACTCAGATACTGGAGGAGCACAGCATGGGTCCCTCATGCAGCAGGCCTGGGGAGTGGCACACTGGCTGGCACATGGGCAGCTTCCTGCACAACCTTCCACTTGTTTTCAGCCAAACAAGGCTGGTCTGTGGACTACAAGTGGCCTCCAAGGGCAGCCAGTCTGCAACTCCTGCATTGGCCAACTTATCATATCCCTTGTACAGCTGGGGAAACTGAGGTCCAAGAGAGGAGACAGCTTGCCCAGCAAGAGTCATCCATCCAGACAGCAGCAGAGTCAGGACACCGGCCCCGGGCATTCGAGGGCCTGCGGGGCCCTCGGGGGATCCCAAGCCGAGTCACCTTTGCCCTGGTAGACCAGCAGCCCGTTCGGGCCCCGGAACTCAATGGTGTCTCCGATCTTCATGCTTTCCAGGTACTGGGACATCTTCCCTCCAGAGGGAAACTTGGGATGGGTGTCTTTGAAGTAAACCTGCAAGACACACCCACAGTCCTCAGTCCCTGTTCCCAGGGTTGCCGGGGTAAGCTCTGGACCACAACGGGAAGTGACCCTTAGGGGCTCTTCTGCAGCCTACGTGTGGCCTTCTCACAGTGCCCCATGTACCCATCGAAACTCACCTGTGCCCCCT